CTGCAGAGCGCCGGGGTGCTTGCTGCTTTCTCCTCGGCATGCTGGTGCTGCCTCCGCCGCCGCCCTCCGCCTCCTCCTCCGCTGCAGCCGCTGGAGAGTTTCCGCACAGGACTCCTCTTCCAAGCCCACTCTTCTCATGCAGAAACAAACACACACACACAAATAAAAAAAAGGGGGGGGGGAGGGCAAGGGGAGAGAAAACGGATTCAACTTCTAATTCCGCCTAGAAGGAGAGAAGGGAGGAATGGAGTGGGGAGGGGGGGGAGGAAGAAAAAAAAGTTTGGCTGGATTCTCTTCTTGGCTGGTTTGGGTCCCCCCTCCCCAGGTCAGCTCCCTGCGCTGCAAGCGGGGTGTGGAGGGAGGGGGTTGGGGGGGTGTGGGATGAGGCAAGCCACAGCCTGGTGACAGGGTTGCCAATTTCCGCCGCCACTCCAAAAACTTGCTCGGGAAATGTTTTCATTGACGAGGTTAATTTTCCTCGCTCGCGCTCTCTCTCTCTCTCCCCCTCTTTTAAGTTCCTTAAAAGACAAAGCTCTTCAGTCCTCGCAGCAGCAGCGGCAGGGAAGATGCAAGTGGAGAGATGTGGAAAATGAATAGATTGGATCAGTTCAATCTTCAGCCCAAATCCATTCTCTTGCTTTCCTTCTTTTTTCTCTCCCCCCCCCCCTTCGTCTTTTTCTCCCCCCTCTCCTCCCTCCCTTAAATCACTTCTTCTCGGTGGAGCACTGAGCAAGCCGCAACGATGAGACGGTAAATTCAGTCACTCCCCACTCCACCCCCCCTTTCTCCAAGATCAAAGAGTCTCAAAGCGCAACTTTCTCGCTCGCTGGCTTGTTTCAAGCTCGTGGATTTGTGTGTTGTTGTTGTTGGGTTTCTCTGGGTTTGGTTTGGTTTTTTTTTATTGCGCTGATAATAGTTTTTTCTTTGTGCAAAAAACGAGGTCGATCCAGTCTCTCCTTCTCCTCTCAGGACTTAGTCTTAGAGCAAGAAAGCAAATAATAAAAAGGAGTAAAGTCCCCATACATACATATGCACCGGATGGGAAATGTCAGTCACTCCTCCACCTTCCAAACAGTCAGAGATCAAACAGTGTCAGCACCGGAGAGGACTACTTTTCTGCCTTGCTCCCCCCTTTCTTTTCCTCCACAGATAGCAGCTTCTTCTGATACTAAATATAATTCAAACACATTTTTATCATGGATTTTTTTTGGTTGATCTTGATCTGCAACAGAAAAACAAAAAAAGCCAAAACCAAGAAAAACCCCAGAGAGTGTGTGCAAAGGGGCAGAAAAAGAAAAGATATTCACTGGGTGGGAGAGATTAACGTGAACTGTTTCCCCCCCTTTAAACTCCTGGGAGAGAAAGAGATCCACTCTCCCTCTCTTCTCTTTTCACTGAAATGTAACACATTCAGATCCCAGAGCTTTCAGACAGTCTCAACTGATAGACAGACACATCGAGCTTGCTTTTCCTGCTTCAGTTTTTACTCCTCCTCCTCTTGCCAACGTCACCCTGACAATTACAAATAGGTCTCACACAAACCCATACCTGTCAATCTTTTTAATTGCTTTGTTTTCATTTTTTCCAGAGCTAAACAATATGACAAAAAAAAGTCTTAATACAGCATAGCATAAAAGATTTCTCATGTGAGGCACACATTGAGGGGTTTTGTTATTATAATCCACTTGCTAAAGTACTATACAAGACGCATGTGCTGATTTAACTTAAGCAGATGTCTAGTCCTGGCAAACTTAGAAAGCAAGAGATGCTACCTAGCCTTGGCACACAAAAACATTATTCCCCCTCCTTGAATTTAGGATGATTTGTGTGAGATTACAGGTCCCCCTTACTTTAAAACACCAACACATTGCAAAGCAAGAACTGCAGTATATGAAATACTGCTAACAGATTTTGCATAGTTTATGTCTAGGGATTCGTATATTGCTAACTGCAAGAACAGAAGGTGTTCCCCCCCCCCCTTTTTTTAAGGCAAGAAAATTAAAATACACACTGATTCCAAGGAGAACACTTGAAGCTATAACTTTGCTTCCTTTAAGGCAAAAAGGTGATTTTATTATGATTTTAATGATTAATACCATGCAATTAAGAAATGAGTTGTGCATATTGGAATGATGGAGTTAATTCCATGTGAGTTATACATGAATTCTTCCTACACCATTGCAACAGATCTATTAAATTAACTTCCACCATCACCAAGTACAGACTGGCAGTTCTATCAAAACATTTACTTGAGTCCTTTAACCTCCCAGTTGATTTCCTATAAATACTCTCCCAAAAGTAATTCTGCATTGCAGAAGTTGATTTAAAAATCCTCTCCTAAAGATACGGGGGAGTAGAAAAAATATTTTAGGCCACAATAAATATATGGCAACATTTTTAATGCCATAGCTAAAAGGGGGTGGGAGAAGGATCCACTGTTTCTTTTAACTGTACACGGGTTATAGAGAGCTATAAAATCCATGAGGCTATAAAGTGCATTTCACGTGTGTGTGTCTCCCGACTACAAGGACGTCAGCAGTATTTTTTTCTTTATAGACAGAACACACACAAAAATCCTTAAAATGCTTTAAATCCTTTCATAAATCGTAGTGCTTTTATTCTCCCCCAAATCTAAGTGCTGTATCCACTGGCGGTTGCTAGCGGCTCTGGGTTGATTTGTACCACCTTGCGAGGAAGTGAATGTTTCGCACGGAAGGGGCGGTGCCTGTATCGGCAGCCTGGAGCTCCCCAGCTGCTCTTAATAACAACATTAGAAGATTAGCTGCAACTTCTCTTTACTATTCTAACCTTATTGATCTGATAATTTATTCGTGTTTTCTTTCAACGTTTTTAAAGGGATCATATCCGTCTTTTATAAACTAGGGGCGTGGGGGTGGGAATGCGGCACGTTTTTATATTTACATATTTTAAATCCCTTGCTAAAACGCAGCATGCAAACTAAAACAAAAAACAAAAATTGAACGGAAAATCTTGCAAATCTGTATTTTACCGAAAGTAAGAAATCCCTGGCTGCGGTGATCAGGTTTGGTTATATTATACAGAGGCATGCATGCATGTGTTTCTGTGTTGTTGCAGATCACACACAAACACACGCACCCACATTTTTTTGCTGTTGCAGCAGCTTTGCAGGCGGGACTGTGTTAGGAGGGTGAACTTTGTTCCTGTTTCATGTTAGTGACGGTAAATGAAGATCAGCTCTAGGGGATCATCTTGCTGGTGCTGCTGCTTCTCTGGTGTTTCCGTGTTGTGGAGGGGCTGGGTTGGGAGGACGCAGACAGGCTGCAGCTTGCTACATTAGACGTTATTTACATACACAAATAGCTATGTGCAGAGAGTCAGAGTGTCTCCTCTTGTGAGTTTGGTGGTGGTGGGTTTTGCAAGCTGTCCGAAGAATCCTCTTAGCTGGACACCCCCCGAGGGTGATGAGGGTGGGTGGGAAAGAGGTCCAAGGCTGGGAATGAGTTTTAATACAAAAAGCAGCGCTTTGCTGAGGTGCTGGGGATCTCGGTTCTGGAGGAGACGGCGGCAGCAGCTGTGCCCTCTGGAGGGTCCCTTCGGGTCCTGCTTTGGTGGTGCTCGGCCCCGGCCCATCCTGGACATGTCCTACTCCCGTCACTTTCTGGATTTCCAGGGCTCGTCTATCCCCAGCTCCATGAAGAAGCTGGTGGTGACTAAGCTGAGCTCAAACTTCCGAGAGGCTGTTACCCTGCGGCAGGACGCGCCTGTACCACTCCCGGGAGATGGAGATCTTCTTGTCCGAAACAGGTGAGTTCCCTTCCCCTCTCCAGCCCCCAACTCCTCTCTTCACCTGCCTTCCTAGCCGTGGGGTCTGAGCCCTTTTCCTGCTCAAACTCCCTCTGACTTCTCACCTCCTGTGGCCTTCTCTTGCTCTGTCATCCTATCAGGTTGTACCAGCTGCCATCTGGCGCCTGGTAATTTGATTTTGTTGTTTGTTGTTTGTTTTGAATGTCTGAGACCACATTCATTTCCTCCCCTCGCATTGGGTTGGGTGGGGATTTTTACATCTTTTGTCTGGGTTTCTCCTTCCTTACGAATGCAGCTGATGAAGCAGTATTTACTCTCCTACCCCGGAGGAAGAGCGCACAGCCTCACAAATCCCTGTTTTTAGTAGCCATTTTCAAGGGTGGGAGAGGGCAGCTTGATCTTAAACAGAAAGCTGCACGTGCAGCTAAGTGTTCAGGAGGGACTGAAAAACCAGAACATGATTTCTAAGTCCCTCCCAGGTTCGTGTGTGTTACATTTACATACAGCCACCAGCGTGTGTGTCTGTCTTAGCCATGTAAAAGTCGGTGTGACGTTAATTTATAGCAATCCGTGACTGTGGTATTTATAGTCATGGTCTGAGTGTGTAAGTGTAGATAGAGCATCCACCAATGATTGTTTTATGTGTTATGTATGTGTACAACCGCGAGTATGTTTCCCTGTGTGTCTGTAGGGGTTCCTCCCACCGGTAGTCCTCCACGTCACTAACCTTTAGTGAGTCTGAATCAACAGGAACTGGCAGAGGACCTCAGTCTGTCAGTGCGACTCTCCTTTCCCTGTCACCCTTCAGCCGTCTGGCCACCACTTACTTCCATTCTCTTCTTCCCCCTGAAGTGCAAACATTAAAACCAGGAAAGGAGAAGCTTCTCGATGTGCCATAAGCTTTTAAGAAACCGCATAAGCCTCTCTAGCCTTTTAGAAAGTTTATTACCACTGTGAGTCTCGTATGGGAAGTAGGATTTCTAAATTGTTGGCTATTTTTAATGGCCAACAGGGTCACCCAGGGAGTAAAGATGTGACATTTTGCTTAACATAATAAGCAGTAAATTGTGTGCTAGTTAGTACTGTCCGTTCAAGCTTCTTGGTCAGCTCCCAATAAAATGAAGACTGTGAGGACAAAATGTACCTTTTCCCCAAATGGCTTCTTTAGTTTTATTAGTTCCCGCCTAGATGGTATCATTCCTTAAGACAAAGTGGAGCTTTAAAGGTCTAACTTTCCTTGGTAGAAGCTGGAACTCTGGAAACCCCAAGGAAGATTATGTAACTGTTGCTGTCAAGAGGGGAAATGGGGGAAACCTGTTTTTAAAAGACTTGTCTAACAAAAACCTCTCCATACGTAGAACTGGTTGTTTAAAGACAGTGCATGTGGAAGTACACTAACAGATGTGAGATCAAAACTGGAAGTTTAATAGAAATGTGTGTGTACCTTATCTGTATCTAATCTCTGTTGTGTGTGGGAGGGGGGATTCATAATGTATGTAATATGCAATACCTGCACACGGAAGAGAGAGGCATGGACTTCTCCTGCGACTGAAAAAGCTCCATACAAAACTTTAATCCGCTGCTGCCATCAACCTATAGGATTTTTGAGAGAGAGAGTTGGAGAGAGCCAGAGAGGTCTAAAGCCCTGACTTGCTGTATCTAATAAGGAATGGCCCTGAAACAATAATGGCATGAAACAGGCATCAGGCTGTAGCTAAATTCCTTTTCTTGGAAGGGACCCGACTTCCTCACACTACAAACAGCTACAGAAAAATGTAGCAAGTCTTAGTTCTGCCTAGCTGGATATGATAAGGTTGTTACGTCGTTGTTCTCTAATTCCCCCACTCCCCCCCCACACACTCCTGTTTTCCTATGAAATTTTAAATTTATTCATGTAATTAATTTTGTTCAGTGTAACGCTTCCTTCCTCCCCCTCCCCCTTCCTTGGTCCTGAGTGGGCTCCCTGGGAGCCAGAGGGACGTGCACACCTCACAGTGGAGGGCTCGCACCAGAGTGAGAGCAGGAGCTGGTCTAGAGACTCAGCCAGGCAGTTACTGTATTTTAACACATATCAGTTTATAAAAAGGGGTGGGAGTGGGGAAAAATAATAAATTGAGGTTTGGAGTTGAAACATTTTGTATTGTTTGGGGCTGTGTGGAGTTTTCTCTTTATTATTATTTGCTGAGGAATCTCACATCACATCCCTATATATATATATTCTCTGCTTGTGCCTCCTGAGAGCTGCAGCAGGAAACAAGCCTCCCTTTCCCCTTTTGTACTAGCCTGGGGAAGCTGTTTCCCATCCCGAAAGGACAAAATGTGTCCCTGGCTTTATTTATTCTTAAAAACACATTTTACAATAGGTAAAAGCCTACAGGATCTTAAAAACAAAACAATACATGGTTTGAGTTTGAAGGGTGCAGTTGCGGATTTGTTCATTTTAGTCCCAGTCACGCCCATGAACAGTATTAATTGCTTCGAGCTTTTTATGCAAAACAATCCTCATTCACCGCAGTAAAATCTGCTTTTGGATTTAGGGGAATACTGTGGAAAACTGCTTTGGGGTCCTTGTATTTATTGGTTTTCAAAGATGCTCTTCTATTAAGTGGAACTTTTCCACCCCTTTTTCCTTCGGTGGAAAAATAACCCAAGATGATTCCCTTAGTTCTTAGCAGAAAAAATCCATCATAGCCTTTACTCTCAGAGCAATGCTTTTAAACTAGAAATCGATTTAAAACAATAAACTTTCTCTTTCGAGTGAAGGAGGGAGGGAGAAGGGGAATAGAATCCTTAACATAACCATTTACGCTTCTTATGTGCATTCGCTCTATTTTCAAGAGGGAGAAAGGTGCCTCTGTTTTATTGCAGAAGAACGACCCAAAGACAAAAGCCCAGGTTTCCCCTAAATTATGCCATGTTTTCGAGCTTTTTGTAAAGGAGTGACAGGTTATTTCGTTTCCAAAATATTTTTAACGATTTTCTGCTGAGGTGGAAGTCAATAGGGGGAAAAAAGTTTATTGAAATGGAAGGGGGGGAGAGGTTTTGATTCATGGTTTGGCGGATCACAGTGGGAGGGGTGGGGGATTATTTCTGCTGAGTGTTTGGGTTGAGAATTTGTTTTTCTTCTGCGCTCCTAGTTTGGATTACTTTGTTTTGTCTCTGTGTTGAAGGCTTTTGTGCTGAATTTGTCTCTTACGTTTTGTTGTGGTGCGAGAAGCAGCATTTTCACCCCTCCTCGGGCTCGTCCTGGTTTTATAATAAACAATAGTAAGGGGTTCAGCACGCTTCAGTGTAAAAAAAGCGGGTGACTCGGAGTGTGTAATTATTTTGGGAAAAGCCAGCCCTAGTCTGGTTCGGTGTCTCAGCGCTTCAGATTTTGAAAATAGCGGAAGACGGTGCCCTCACCAGACCGTCCATAGTCAAATAACAAAGGCATTTTAAATTTGGGAATTAAAACAGGCAGATCACTTGAAAAGAATTCTGAGGGCATACTGCAAACCCAGAGTGCACTTCTTTACTCCCCCCCTACACCCACCTCGTCTCGCTCTCTCAGACACAAGTTTGGAAGTTGATCTTGAATTTATTTCTGCGTTTAAAATGAAAGGGTCTGAAAACGTCCGGGGCACAACACAGCAAACCATCTCCCTCATAGTACCTTGAAAGGATTTAGACAGTATGTTTGAATCCCGACATTTGTGGTTTGATCATTTTTTGCATATGAGAAATTTAGGGAGACTACATTAAAAAAAACAACAAAAAACTAGATGCGAACACAAATGGGAGTTATACAAATATTGGTGGGTTGAGAAAAAAGCGTGGGGTGGGGAGTACTTTAGCAAGCTTGGAGACTATATTGATTAATAATAATGATTCCCCTAGTCCCGAGAGAATCATTTCACACAGCAGAGGCAGCTCGGAAGACTGGGGGGCGGGGGGGGGGGAGAGAAATGGAATGGTAAGAACAAATATAACCAGCAAGCCACGTACACATTATATAGTAGTTCGCATTTCTTTATTTCCTCCTAATAATCTATTTTTTTTGCTGAGGCTCCTAGCCCCGTTTTAAATGGAAAATGCAGGGATCGCGAACAAGAGAACAGTCTTTCAAATGGTTTCTCCACAGGTTGACCTGTGCGTATCTCAAAATCCCCTAGTAATACAGCCACCGAAGAGACGCAGACCCCAGTTCCAGCTGAGATGGAAAGGCATCCGCATCTGCACATCCAGCCTTGCATGGGAGGGATAGCTGCAAGTGGCCAAGTGCTGGAGAAGGAGGTGGAGGTGCCGGGGTGGAGAATAGGGGCCAGAGGGAGGGAGTGCTAGGATGGAATGTCCTCAGAGAGATGCCCCCACTCGTAGTCCCTGGCCGACCCTTGAAGCCCCGCTGAGGCATCACACTCCTATTGGTGTCAACACTGGCACTTTCCCCCTATTACGGTTACCATAAAAGGTGGGGAGGTGCCAGGCAAGCACCAACTTCTTCTGCACTGTGTCTTTCCCCGAGATCTGCCATTGCATCGCCCTCTTCTCTCTCACGCACACACGTTTCAGCTGCTGGTGGAGCCGGGTGAAGGGGAAAAGATGGGGAATGATTTGAATTTTCTCCTGGTAAAAAGGAGCATGTTAAGGACACTTGCTTACCAGACATCTGGCTAACTGCAATACTTCCATTCCGCCTTCCTCCCCCCCCCTCCCCTGCCCCCCCCCCCCCCACACACACACAAAGTTTCCAGCTTTAGACGGTTATTTACCTGTCTTGCTCTATCCCTCTCTTTCCATTTTAAGAACGATGCTTCTTAGGTGAAAAGAAAATGGGATTGCAAAGGGTGGGGGAGAAAAGTTGTTGTTTTTTTTAATTCCTCCCTTCTTTAGGATGCACTGCATACAGGGAATGCCTGTTCCATATAGTGCAAAAATCAAAGGCGCATGAATAGGATCTCTGCACCAGGAAGGAGGTTCTGTCTGTAGGAGGCTAATTCAGGGGTAAATTGGCTGGAAGTGGAGGAGAGGTGGTAAATCCATGGGTTGAAGGTTCTCGTTGTAGGGATAAGGGAGGGAAAGGAGGGAGATAACCATCTCTCTGTTTTTAAACCCCACTGCTAAAAGTTGGGTTTTCTAATCTAATGCAGAGTTGTAGCACCAATTGAGCCTTGGCTTTCTGGTACTTTTTTTCGAATGTCCTGAGGAGACATGTTTTGCTGTGGAAGCTGCTTGTAGTTGTTTGTTTGTTTTTTAAAGAATGGGACATTGGAATTATGTAAATTAAAAGAGAATGGTAGATTTTTTTGTATCTATAAATAGGACATAAACATTCTTTGTTACAGTTGAACAGAGGATTTAATGCAGAATTAAGGAAAGCAACAAAAGTCACATTCTTCTTTCTCCGCCTGTGTGTATATTATATATATTTATATTAATAAGACTGTCTTGCTGTATGTGTGTGTATGATACACACTTTATATTAGTGAAACTCTGAGATTCTCCATAGTATAAGGAACTGAAAAAAAATCAAAATAAAGCATTTTTCAGTTTCTCATTTCTTTGTGTACTGTGTGTGTAAGCACTTTAAAATCTCACATACACAAAATTTGAAAATATTGCTAACTCTGACCATTAAAATTGCACTGTTTGCATACTTCTACAGTTTTTCATATGACACCAAATTCTATAATCTTTAGGTTATCGCTTCCACATGTAGTAAAAATCTGGGATTCTTCTGTTGCATGTGCAAGCTTCTTCACATTTTCTAGTTAACAGATGCTCCCCATCCACTTTCCCTTTGTGTAGCAAGGTATTTTAGTTATGAACTACATTGACATGGAAAAATCTTGTTAGTAAAATATCACCTGTACAATTAAAGTAGATTGTGATACCATGATTATCTCTTTTACTGCTAATCAAGTTTAGTGTACATGTGTGTTTTTTGAAAACATTGGCATTCTTTTTCACCTGTTAGAGGTCAATAGGACTTCTAAACATTCAATACTCTGTTACAATTTCAGTCCTTCTGTACAATGGTGTTTTGATGTGTTGCAAGTAATTGGTATAAATCAAAATATTTTAATAATGTTGAAATTAGCAAATTTCCTATAATCACATCATAATTAAAAAGAAAACTTGCCTTCAGTAACATGTTATGATCAATGACCTTGTAGATGACATTTATACTTAATATTATCGTTAGTCATTAACATATTATTATAATCAGAAATGTAAATTTGTTGCCAGAATCAACATATTTAGCACTTTACACATATTTTATTCCACAGAGTTGTTTTTATATCTTTTGTAGAGTGGTCAATTAATTTTAATTTTCCAGTCTCATACACAATTATTTTTGGTTTGCTTATTGTGGTTAAAATGGCCATGCAGAAATGTCTTATTTTTTAAAAACGTATTTAAAATTTCGACAATATTAGAAACTTAAGGTACAAAAGTCTGATTAAGATCACTGCTATGCTATGTATACGGACATTTTTTTTAATAGTATGAGGTGACCATTTTTTCCAGTTACTGGTATATTTGAATATGCCTTGTTATATCTTACCCAGTAAATGTAAGTGGATGCTTTTTCACATGGCAAAGTACTTGACAAAGAAAGCATGTTAACAAATTTTTGTTTTCTTCTAGATTTATCGGCATTAATGCATCTGACATAAACTACTCAGCTGGCCGGTATGACACTTCAGTTAAACCCCCGTTTGATGCAGGTTTTGAAGGTATTGGTGATGTGGTAGCTTTAGGCCTCAGTGCTAGTGCCAGATACACAGTAGGCCAAGCTGTGGCCTATATGACACCTGGTTCTTTTGCTGAATATACAGTTGTGCCTGCCAAACAAGCAGTTCTTCTACCTTCTGTGAAACCTGAGTTTCTTACTCTAATGGTAAGTGGCGCGACGGCGTACATCAGTCTGAAGGAGCTTGGAGAATTGTCTGAAGGCAAGAAGGTTTTAGTGACCGCAGCATCGGGAGGAACAGGCCAGTTTGCTGTGCAGCTTTCAAAGAAGGCAAAGTGCCATGTAATTGGAACTTGTTCCAGTGATGAAAAGGCTGGCTTTCTGAAATCCATTGGCTGTGACCATCCCATCAACTACAAAACTGAAAATGTTGCTGCTGTTCTTAAAAGGGACTATCCAGAAGGTATGGATGTAGTGTATGAATCTGTTGGTGGAAAGATGTTTGACTTGGCTGTCAACTCCTTGGCTACCAAAGGGCGCCTGATAGTTATTGGGTTTATCTCTGGCTATCAAAATCCTACTGGCCTTCAGCCTGTTAAAGCAGAAATGTTGCCAGCAAAACTGCTGAAGAAATCTGCCAGCATCCGGGGTTTCTTCCTGAACCATTACCTTTCTGAATATAAAATGGCTATGGAGCACTTACTCACAATGTATGAAAGTAGAGAACTGGTTTGTGAGGTGGACCTCGGAGACATGTCTCCAGAGGGCAAGTTCACTGGCTTGGAGTCTGTATTCCGTGCTGTAGATTATATGTACATGGGAAAAAACATTGGAAAAATTGTAGTTGAATTACCTAACTCTGTCAACAGTAAGCTGTAAAAACAGAACAATGATATAAATCAAAAGAGAGAGAAAATAGGCACTTTATGCCTCAGAATTACTAGAAACCATTTAAAAAAAAATTGGTAAAGGATAGTATATTAAAACTATATTAAGTTGTTAATAAAAAGTTTTGATTTAAAAAAAAAAAAAGCTTAAATTTAGCCAGTGCCTGTAGCAAGGACTTAACGTGCTTGTGTTCGATTCTGTAACTTTTACAGGCAGTGGTGCTCAGGCTAATACTAGATATGAACATTATTCTGGGCAGTTAGAATAAATGATGATTCAGAGGCTGATCCATCAGTTTTTTTGATAAGCTTTTAAATCCTTTTTGGAAACATTACATTTCTGCAATTTAGATCCTGTGATTTTAAAAATATCTTTCATGTACAGCAAAACAAAACATTTTGTTGATGCTTTGTTAACCCTTGACATTTCTGGGAAACCAAAGTTAAAAATTATCTTTTTACTTTTTTGGGTTGCAAACTCAGTAATGATACATTGTGCATGGTATGGCTACATTGTGCATGGTAATCAGATTTCATGACCAGTTCTATATGGAAAATCTATCCATTAGTTCTAACATGGCAGAAAAATGAAGTGGGGTGGGGAGAAGAGGGAAGGAGGGAACACACATACTCACAATTTAAAAAAAAAATTTCAGAGTTTGCAACTATACATAACCCTGCCATTTTCATTCAAGTCTTTGGTTACCTTTTGGAACAGTCATCTTACACCTTTGCCCTGGTGTTTATTATCTTTATTGTTTACCCTTTATTCTCCCCATTAAACTACTAAATGAGCTAATTGGGCTTTAGTTCTGAATTGTGTTTACATGTATTGAGGTCCTTTACTTGTACTAACAATTTAATAAAGTGCAGAAAGCTATCTCCGTGTGTGTGGTATTTTTTCATATTGATACACTTCTTGTAGCTTAGCTCTTCCATAGAGGTGCAGTATATTATAATGTCCTTAAAACAGTGATGAATATTTGGTACAGCTTCTCATAGCAAAGTTAGTAGTTATTATTTAGTATTGCTACTGTGTAGGCCTTATGGCAAAGAGCAAGGTCATTTGTATAAATTCTCTGTGCCCAATACACATATGTATAAATAAAAACATAACTAGGGAATAGTTTACACCAGCGGTTCTCAAACTGTGGGTCAGACCCCAAAGTTGGTCACAACCCCATTTTAATGGGGTCGACAGGGCTGGCGTTAGAGTGGCTAGGACCCGGGGCCAAAGCCGAAACCGATGCTCCACTACCCAGGGCCAAAGCCCGAGTCTCACCGTCTAGGGCTCAGCCTTTGGCCTCAGCCCTGGGCAGTGGGGCTCAGGGTACAGGCCCCCTGCCCAAGGATGAAGTCCTTGGGCTTTGGCTTAGGGCTCCCCTACCCAGGGTGGTGAAGCTCGGGCTTTGCCCCCACCCCCACCCCCACCCCCAGAGCAGCAGTGCTCAGGCAGACTCAGGTTTCAGTCCCCTGCCTTGGGGCCATGTAGTAACTTTTGTTGTCAGAAGGGGGTCACGGTGCAATGAAGTTTAAGAATCCGTGGTTTACACAGTGGGTTCAGTTAAAATGTTTGTTCTGTTTTGAAAGTTATTCCTGGCTGAGGAGGTGCTATTACCTAGACGTAAAATGGGAATACAACATAGACATGGTAACATTTTCCAAAACAGTAAATCTTTTATACTGTACATTTATTTTCATTAATGTAGTTACACTTTTAGGGGTTGATCCAGCTGTACCCATTGAAGTCAGAGAATTTTAATTTTAATGGACTTTGAGAGCACTGGCAGCTCACAGGATCAGGCATCTGATGATAAACTTCTAGTTCCCTTGTATCATAGGACATTCCCATATTAAATAGAAAAAAAAATCCAGGGTTAATTTTACATCTTGGGCAATAATCAGGACTGGTTGTGCACATAGGATTTAGCTTTCTTGAAAGTAATGTGTGGTAGGTAAATGCTTCAATTATACTAACAAACCTGGAACCCATAGAAAAGTTAAATCACTTTTCAATTTATGATTTAATATTGCATTCCCACTGTAATTTGATAGTTTACATCTGTTATTACTGGTTAACAGATTAGTATCCAGCAAAGAATCATTCCTTTTCTGCCATTTTTGAATGTTGGTATCAGTTCAGGTGTTTTCAGGAGAAGGTAGAGTTGTGTCAGTCATCGCATTTTCAAATTCTTTGCTTTTTCTTATAATCAAGCAAGCCTAGATTATTCTACAGGGACATTCTAGGGTTCCTCAAACCATGTGGCTTGCTGCTGACTAGTTACCATGGTGGGATGGGTTTGTTTTTACTCCTACTCCTTTTACTTTTTGATGCCAGATAAAGGCAAGGCACTCAAAACCTCACAAGATCAGACCCCAGTCAGAGAGTACTAATGTGATATATTTTTACTCCAATGTGTCTGGTCCTCTCTAGTGTTAAAAAAAAAAAAGGGGGGGGGGTGTTAAAATATTCATATCCATGGGCAATACAAGTGTCTGAGAAAACAATTCAGATCTGTACTAACTGATAAAGTCCAGACAAGGAACCATAGTTGTTAACAGTCTATAGTGTGCAGGGAACTTCCTCATGAAGAACAATATTTTGAAATCGGATAACTCAAGTTGTGCATTTGGCCTAAGATTTATTATGTATAGTAGTGTACCATGTGCATCTATGACGTTCAGTATTTCATAAACTGTTATATGCCTAAAGATTATTTAGAAAAGTAGTAACTGCCACAAGCTCCATCACTAATACAAATAAGATAAGGGAATAGAGGCACATTTGGCACATTCTTATATTTATATTCAAATGTGACATTATTTGTTTTTGTTCTAATTGTGGCTTTTGAGCTACTCTTCAGCACTTCAATACACTTGTAACATTATTACCAAAGTTCAGCTTCTTTATATGTAGAACCTGAATTCCCTGTTTACTGATTCTAAAGACTTTTGTTGTCTAGGTTGGCTGTAGCAATGGGTTTGTCATTTTGTATCAAACTTCTCGAGTATGTTAAAGAGACGTCTTAAGATATGTATGATTGTTCTTCTGTGAATGAATCCAGGATAGTCAGGGATCTCCCCCCCTCCCCCCTTTGCTTTTTAAAGATAAGTTATTACTAGTTTTAGATTACTGTAAAGAGCAGCTTTATGTGGGGAAAAAATGCAGGTATTTGAGGCACACAAATTATGCGGATAATTCTCAGGTATGTGAGAACATAGACAACTTTTTTCTTTTTTTATTCAAAAGTATGTGTTGTGAACTGGCTACAGTCTGCATAAGGCTCATTTTGGATAAGCAAGCTGTGGTATGTATACATAATGCTACAATATTAGATGGACAAGAGACTATATATGGCATGCACACAATGAGGGTTTAAATAAGTATAGGACATTGAATGTACAAGGAAAAGAAATACTGTAGATTCACAGCAAGGGAATAATAACAATACACTTAATATGCTTGCAAAAAAAGGTGTATTAAAAGCTGTGTGCACAGTGGGGACTTAAGTGATTCAAAATAATAATACATGGGCCTGGGAAGTACTAAGTATACTATTTGTAGAGAGTGGGGATTTAAATAATAATATTATTAATAATAGCAACTGATCAAGCTGTAGTTGCTGGCGCTACATCCTAATTTTACCTTTCTAAATGAATTTGCTACGACAGAACCTAACATTGCTTGTTGAGGCTAATGACAGAGTTCTCCCATCCTACACATGCACGCTTCCATGGAAAACAACAAAGAAATGTAACGAAGGGCTGGCTATATGCTTCTCTCTCTCTCTCTCTCTATATATATATATATATACAGGTCTGACACACACACCCCTTACTGTATATTCAGGTCTGTACCCCTCAGCACATTTCACAGAGGTGCTCCATACTTAATTGCTATGCTGGAATCTCCTAATGCATTTTTGAATTAAGTTAGATTGCTAGCAGGTTATAGTTTTTGGTGGTTTATGTTTTGTTTTTTTGTTTTTTTTAAATAACGTGGCCAAGTATAGCTGCCATATATACAGACAAATAATTACAGTTGCTCAGGGAAAAGTTTGAAACAGTATTTGAAAATGTTATTTTTTTCCTCATTCAGTCTGAGAAGTAAAGAAATTCCACTGCTGAATGGCCGTTAGTATCTATTTTACAAGATTTACTCATTTTCAGGTACCTAATGTAGCTTCTAGCATGCATGCACAACAATACAATTTATATGGTAAATGGAACCAAATAATGGCTTCACTGAATGTTATGGCTGCACTGAAGGGAAATGTCACGGTAAATAGCTGCCAAATTATGGATCATGCCGAAGTGTCACAACTGCACTAAAGACAAATAGCACTGGAGGCTATTGCCACTGTGATGCTTTTGAGTTATGAAGAAGAGGAGCAGCCTGATGTGAGGCTCTTTGTGTCCTCATTATAGCAAAGGGTTACTGCTGCAATGTACAAGAAAACCCAGTCCAATGTGGTGGTTAGTTATTAATCTGTCCCTTTCAGATCTAACAGCTGTGGCAAAACAGAAAATCTTTGCCTTGTGTTAACACACACACAAAAAACCCACAGATTTTATGAATGTAAATGTGTATGGGAAATGACTAGTAATGGAAAAATGTTGTAATAAAATAATCTAATCAAAGAATATTATTAAATTTAACATAGTATGTGTCTGAAAGGTTTAGTTGCTTCTCATGCAGATAGATGTGTGAAATATAAGCAATAATGCACTTTCTCTCTTTGTAAAGACGTGCGTAGTAAGGACATTACCAACTAAATTGCTTCTTCTAAACTGAAGTGAGTCCCGGTTTCTTTCATTTTAATGGGAGGGTAATAAAGATGAAAGACTAACGTTTTAACTGATGGATCCCTTAAGCTAAAGAATAGAAATGTATTATGTTTTGAGGGGATATGCTAAATCCTGAAATGTGGGAGAAAGGAAAAATCCCAGGTAAAATAAAATCAAACTAAAAAATATTCTCATGTAATGTGTTTTTACAAATGGAAAAACTATGCAACTGTTTTTTATTTATGATAAACAGAAGACTATTTTCTCATTCAGACACAATCTCAGAAATATATTTGCAAATGCAGGGTCATGACTCAGCAAGGGCTCTGTCTTTTCTCAGATCATTGTACAAACCCAGCCTACAATGTTAAATGCAATGAGTTTGATGGACTCAGCACCTTCCTTGGCATACCATTGTACACACTACAAATGTACCATCCATAATTCAACACAGTTGTCAGTCTCGGTTTTAGAGAGGGGGCCCGGACTGAACAATCATGGTGGATAAATTGCTTCTCAAGTCTAAGGAGAGTGGTCTTCCTTCCACATCAGGCTTAAGGTCATTGGCAGGGCAGTGAGTGAGAGGGGAGCTTGTATATTAACCCTAATGCACTACTAGTGTGTGGATAAATAGAGGGATTATACCAATTAATTACAATTATGTTTATTCTTGGGGGGGGGACAGCTGAAGAGGAGTAATTTTGTTCTTATATTTTTCTCCCTTAATACCTTTTTTACCCTATGTGTAATAAATAAATAAATGTCCCTATAGGTCATTTTTCTTATAACAGCATTAGTGCTTTCAATTTTCATCATCACAAAAATCCACATCTCAGAGGATATACAAAGATTCTAAAAAGGTTTTTAACCTGTGGCAATAACACATTCTGTTTAAAATTCTTACAATGTGGTCTAAAGACGGGAGGGAGGGAAAAAACACCCTGTCCAAAGCTGGGTAGAACATCTTTGAATGGCGATTAGTGTATCTAGAATTTATTTTATATACAGCGCAGTGGCAAGTAGCTGCTTTTTATTAAATGAAAATCCTGTGTTACGTACTTCAGGAACATTCCAGTTAATGAGTATGTAATG